AGACTTAGAGGAAAGAAACGAGGAGCATAGATGGAGCCCCCGGGAAATACGGACCAGATGAGTGCCAATTTCAATGGCAATGTCAAGAGGGTTTGCTACATCAACACCGGCAACCCGTAGAACAGGAGCCGGGTCAGGAGAGTATTTACCACTCAATTTCCTCACTTTTTTTCCAGACTGCACTCATAGAGGAAGCAGAGGTGATGGTGGAAACATAATCTAGCCAGCAAGTGCGTTTAGCGTCACAGATACGGCGAGCGACCGCACGCGTCTGCTTAAAATCAAGAAGTCTCTCATTGGTTCTATTGTACCGGTACCTGCCCCATGCAGCACGTTTCAAACATACTGCACGAGCACAAGCAGGAGACCACCAAGGCACGCACTTCTGAGAATGCCTGCCTGAGGTTTGGGGTATAGAATGAGAAGCTGCGTTGAAAACTGACATCGAGAAGAGGTGTAGGAGCTCATCAATGGAGGATGAAGAAGGAACCTCATTAAAAGCGGTGAGTTACGAGTAAAGGTCCCAATTTGCCTGATCAAATTGCCAGCGAGGGCTACGGAAAGGTGGTGAATATGAAGAAGTAAGAATGATTGGAAAATGATCGCTGTCATGTAAGTCCGGTAGAACAGACCAGGTGAAGTCTAGTGCAGTGGAGGAAGAGCAGACCGATAGATTGATGCGAGAGAGAGTATGAGTACGAGGATCAAAATGGGTGGGAGTACCCGTATTTAAAACATGGAGGGGGTGAGAGGCGAGAAAAGCCTCCAACTGGATGCCATGCGAGTCACAATGAGACCCCCCCAGAGGAAATGGTGGGCATTAAAATTGCCAAGTAACAGAAGTGGTGGTGGTAAGGATGAAACAAGAAAGGCAAAATCTGGGATAGAAAATGCTCGAGAAGGAGAGAGACATAAAGAACATATTTTTTTTTTTTTTTATTATCACACCGGCCGATTCCCACCAAGGTAGGGTGGCCCGAAAAAGAAAAACTTTCACCATCATTCACTCCATCACTGTCTTGCCAGAAGGGTGCTTTACACTACAGTTTTTAAACTGCAACATTAACACCCCTCCTTCAGAGTGCAGGCACTGTACTTCCCATCTCCAGGACCCAAGTCCGGCCTGCCGGTTTCCCTGAATCCCTTCATAAATGTTACTTTGCTCACATTCCAACAGCACGTCAAGTATTAAAAACCATTTGTCTCCATTCACTCCTATCAAACACGCTCACGCATGCCTGCTGGAAGTCCAAGCCCCTCGCACACAAAACCTCCTGGATACAGGCGGCAGTGTAATGCAGCGAGGTATGGACAAATAGTTGACAGTATGGAATATCATTGCGTAGAAGAAGGGCACTTTCATTAAAGGTCCCATCTGAGAAAGGATCCAAAGAATACAATAAATTATAGCCTGAGATAGGTTGGAAAACAGCTGAGTATAATTTTGGTTCTTGTAAGCAAGCACCAACAGGGGAAAACCTGGAAAGCAACATCTGAAGCTCACCCTGATTACCCCTGAGGCCCCGGATATTCCACTGTAAATAGGCCATGATTGGCAATGAAGAAAATACCAGGAATCCGTAAGAAGGTCACCTATGGACTAGAGGGGTTAGAAAAGTCAACGTGCGGTGGCATCGGAAGACGTTCAAGCAGCGAAGGAACGGAGCGTTGCGAAGAATGGAGTTGTGGAGATGGAGAAGGAAGAGAAGGAAAAGGAGGTGGATCAGTGTCCATTGAAGGTTTAGTCTCTGCAATATATTCTGAAATGGCTTCAAGTGTTTTTGAATTCAAATATGTATGGGAGACAATATTGGAGGTAGAAGGAGGAGGGTGAGTAAAGATTGGGACAGTAATGGACTGTACCAAAGTAGAGGGGAATGAAAGAGTGTAGGGGACTGGAGAAGGGTGGGAGGGGACAGAAGAGGCAGAAACCTGGGAGGTGGCAGAAGAGGGAGAAACTTGGGAGGGGACGGGGGTGGAAGGCATAGTATGAGGAGGGTGAACCTCCAAACTTGTAGTAGAGCCAGAGAGAGGGGAAGAAATAGGCACAGAGACTGGAAAGGTAAAATGCGGAGGTGGAAGAAGGGAAGGAGGGGGCAAAGAAGATTTGAGCAATGGGGATTTTTTTGGACTTCTGAGTAGAGGGGCAATTGGTATAAGGTGTCGTACGAGGTCTTGTCGATACCGGGGCTTGTGAGGAAGGACGCGAAGATGTGAGAACAGACTGGGTTGTAGTAGGGACGTCAGAGCCCAGGACAGCAAAAGGATTAGATACCGGAGTGGCTATGGGAGGGGTAACAACAGAGGAGGCTGCAGAAGATGGGACCCTAGAAGTGGGGGGACGTTTTGAAACACGAGAATAAGAAACACGGGGTAGTCTCCCTTGGAGGTGGAGATGAGAAACTGCAATAGCATAAGGGAGACTTTCTGCCTCTTTGAGGCAACGGATTTCACGCTCATTTAAGTAGACCTGGCAACGGCGAGAGTACGAAGGGTGAGCCTAATGACAATTAACGCAGGATGGAGGTTGACTGCAAGACGTATTAGAATGGTTGTCGGCACCACAGACTGGGCATTCGGCTATACTGTAGATCTGTAATATTTCGCTGGGTGACCAAAACGCCAGCAATTTCTATACTGTTGCGGTGTAGGGATCACCTTTCGAACTTGTAACCGATGTCCCGCGACATAAACAGAGGATGGGAGTTCATGGCTGTCGAAAGTTAATCGAGCCACATTGCAAGGGTATCGTCTCCGCCCGTGGGCAGGAAGGACATACGTGTTTACTTTGAGGATTGGGAGATCCTGGAGTTCCAGCTGTTCAAGAATGTCATTGCCACATGTCTGGAAATTCTGTTGGACTATGGTATGGGGCAGAATGACAGTACCACTACAAGAATTGAGAGAAAGATGTTTTTCAATAGTGATAGGAGTAGTATCGATATGCGAAAGGAGAGAAAGATCATGAGCTTGGGTAGCATTCTGGACAGTGACGATGCGCGTACCGCTCTTGAGAGCGTGAGACGAAATATCTCTACCAACATGGCGCAGGAGCGCTTTGCCAATACTATGGTCGGAAAGATAGGCAGAAGAAGAAGTCGGTCTTAAAGTAAAGAATTTAGTCCATTGTGTGGTCCGAAACTGAGCGTGGAGAGGGAGTGCATGATGTGTCGGCCTTTTCCGAGTAGAATGGGAAGGTAATGAAGTAACATCATCAGGAGATTGTCGTTGGAGTTTAGGAGTGGAACTGGAGTTGGTCTGACGTGAAACGGGCTGGCAATTCGAAAATTGCCGTACCGTAGAGGGAGAGGCCGGAAGCATAGTCAAAAGGAGAGTGGAGGTCAGACAAATCGAAGGAGTCAGTCGAAACCCTGGTACCTGAAGCGGGTGAGGAAACAGCACCAGCAAGAGGTACAGGGGCATCAGGAGTGTCCGAATAGTGGTCAAAAAACGAGGCAGGGTCAGAATGGGGTGCGGTATCAAGAAGGGGCCCGGGGGTAGTAGGTTCATGGATTGGGTTCTCCATGGTTAGGTTACTCCTTTGCTTTTTGTTTTTAAGAAAAAAAAAAGAAAGAAGAAAAGAAAATAAAAATAAAAAAAATAAAAAAAGGGGGGAGCGGGGAGGAATAATTCTCAGGAGGAATGAAAGGGCCGGAAATCTCCCTCTGTGCCAAAGAGGACCTCAGCACCGTAAGTAGCGCAGATGCAGCATGGAACCCGTTCCATACCCTACCCTTCATGCCAGTAAACCAGCAATCCAGGATAGCAACCTCACATCTGCCGAGCTACCTCGGTGGACAAGAGAGGGCAGCCGGATATCCGCCACAAAGCATACCTCCTTCGGCCACCACCCCCGGAATCCGAAAGGTGGCTTCCAGAGATACACTCGTTGCCCGAAAGACACCCAAAGCCACCCTCCGGGATACCGGAGAGGGATCGGGACATCCCCAGGCGATCCAGATTCCACGGCAAACTACGCCACCGCCAAGAACCTCAACAGAATGGGATGGACCCTGGTACCCTTTCCCCTACCTAGAAACGAGCGCGCCTGTGGGAAAAATCCCAAAGGCCAAAAAGAGGAAGGGCAAAAGGGAGGGGTGGGGAGGAGGAAGAGGATGAAAGGAAAAAGGGGAGGATGGGATAGGGAAAGGGGGGTTTGGGGGTAATTAGGTTCGGTCTGAGGAAGGAGACCGACGGGTCTAATTCCTCAGACCAAGAGCCTCTTCACCACGCCAAGGAGCCCCCCTTGAAGAGGTTATGACACAACACTGACCAAAAAAAAAAAATTTACAAATCACTGAAAATTACGATGGCAAGATTCATCCTGGGTTCATAATGTTGACTCTTAGATTTTTAATCTGCTCCAAATACATGCAGTGCTATATGACTCTTACATGTTTAGAACTGTTCATGAATGTAATACTGTAATAATTCAAATATGTACTGTATTACATTAATGTAATCAATGTGAAATAGTTAAAATTAATTTTGTAGATGAATGGTTCAAAGAACCGACACGTTACATTAGACACATGTGCAACTCTTGGGTATCTTTATTGAGGAAACGTTTCGCCACACAGTGGCTTCATCAGTCCATACAAAGGATAAACTTGAAGAACAGGAGGAGAATGGGGTAATCAGTCCCTCAGCCTTGAGTCGATGTGGTCAGTCCATCAATCTTGAATAGACTGATGGACTGACCACATCGACTCAAGGCTGAGGGACTGATTACCCCATTCTCCTCCTGTTCTTCAAGTTTATCCTTTGTATGAACTGATGAAGCCACTGTGTGGCGAAACGTTTCCTCTTTAAGATACCCAAGAGTTGCACATGTGTCTAATTTAACAAAATTAATTTTATTAAAGAGCTAACGCATTATGTTATTACACCTTTACTGCTCCATAAAATGGTATGTATTCTATGGAATTATTAATCATCTTGATCATGACTATCTCAAACATGGAAATGCAATAATATAAAGTTTGAAAAAATAATTCATCATTTATCATATGTTTATTTATTTGTACAGAGGGAAAAGGAACAAAGAGTAAGAATTATACAGGAATAAGTTTGAGTACCAAATGAAGTATAATGGCAGAATTGTAATTGGCGAGTGACTGGAAAAATAAATTATAAGAAAAAAAATAGTCAATTAAGAAAGCTAAGTTGGTATGGTATGTAAATTAGTGTTTGTATTAAAGCACACAGGTAAGCAGTACTTAGTTCAAGGAAGAGAACCATCTGTTGCATATATTTTGAAAAGTTGTATGAGGTGAATCTAGTATCAGGTTGTCAAGTGTTAGAAATGCATAAGGTATGCTTTAGGTGAAAAGCTATGAAGATTATTACTGTACCGTTTATAGAAAATGCATGCTAAAAAGGTGTGGCCAATGAGGAGCTAAAAAAAAAGTACAGGGAAAATGTATGGGGGTGTGTATAAATAAAGAAAATCAGAGTAAACAAAACAAGTCAGAGAATGATACTGGAAGCATTAAGTGAATGTATTTATACTAGGAAGAGGATAACTGATGAATTTAAGAATGAGGTGAATCACATTACAGATGAGAAAAAGAAATTTGCAAATGCTGAAGAATTTTTGGAAAGAAGTTTGTCAGTGGATGGATAAAAAGATGTATGAAAGTAGTGTATAATTATTGGTAAAATTAATGCCAATATTTTGGGCAAACTGCCATGAGCAATTAGCGAGACATTTATAATAGCTATGTTTAGTTCACCAGAAGCTTGATAAAACTCCTGTTGAGTGAGTCCTAATATGTCTCATTAGCTGCTCTTGTGTCCAATTAGGTAACAAAGTATAGTGGTGCCAAACACCAGTCTAAATGCTGCAGACCCTAAGAATTGAGATTTTTCTCTTCCTTCTAACAGCATTTTACTCATGCCATTTTCAGGGTGATGAGTTTACAGGCATACATATACTATATTTTAAATATTATATAGATTAAAGTGGCAGCATTAGCCATGTTAATTTGTTGATTACCATCCAAAAAAGCTTATAAACTCAATAGATAAATTACTGCAACTTCATCCATTAACTACTTAAGTGCCATCTTGAATTAAAAACCAGGACATTATTTAATCCTTAAGGCAGAAACAAGATTAGTTGTCAACACATTTAAACATAAGTAAATATACTGTTGAAAACTAGGCACAATGCTGACAAGTGGTAATGTAAACATATTAACTTTAGTGAAGTCCTTTATTGATACCATGTTTCACCCAGGGGTAGGCTTTTTTAAGCAAAGCCCACCTACAGGTAAATTGCTGTACCAGAAATGGACTTGACTGCAATTAATACCTTTACTACCAATTATTCTCTTGCTTAACCCTTTCACTGTCTCCCATGTTGAGCTCCATTTTTGATGCTGAGTGTTGCTCAAACATATCTACATTTTAAGCACAGCATTCTCAAACATGCTGCGAGAGGTAACCTTTGGCTTAGACATGAGAATGGGTCTGTGAAATGGATGTGCACAGTATATAAAAAAATCTTTTTCCCCACGCAGTGTGTGAGAAAAAAAACAAACCTCTGATCTGTGTTCGATTTAATTAAAATACATGGAGGGAGAGAGTATGGAGGAGATGAATGTATTCAGATATTTGGGAGTGGACATGTCAGCAGATAGGTCTATGAAAGATGAGGTGAATCATAGAATTGATGAGGGGAAAAGGGTGAGCGGTGCACTTAGGAGTCTGTGGAGACAAAGAACTTTGTCCTTGGAAGCAAAGAGGGGAATTATGAGACTATAGTTTTACCAATGCTCCTGTATGGGTGTGAAGCATGGGTGATGAATGTTGCAGCGAGGAGAAGGCTGGAGGCAGTGGAGATGTCATGTCTGAGGGCAATGTGTGGTGTGAATATAACGCAGAGAATTCGTAGTTTGGAAGTTAGGAGGAGGTGCGGGACTGCCAAAACTGTTGTCCAGAGGGCTGAGGAAGGGTTGTTGAGGTGGTTCGGACATATAGAGAGAATAGAGCGAAACAGAATGACTTCAAGAGTGTATCAGTCCGTAGTGGAAGGAAGGCGGGGGAGGGGTCGGCCTAGGAAAGGTTGGAGGGAGGGGGTAAAGGAGGTTTTGTGTGCGAGGGGCTTGGACTTCCAGAGGTCATCCGTGAGCGTGTTTGATAGGAGTGAATGGAGACAAATGGTTTTTAATACTTGATATGCTGTTGGAGTGTGAGCAAAGTAACATTTATGAAGGGATTCAGAGAAATCGGCAGGCCAGACTTGAGTCCTGGAGATGGGAAGTACAGTGCCTGCACTCTGAAGGAGGGGTGTTAATGTTGCAGTTTAATAACTGTAGTGTAAAGCACCCTTCTCGCAAGACAGTGATGGAGTGAATGATGGTGAAAGTTTTTCTTTTTCGGGCCACCCTGCCTTGGTGGGAATTGGCCAGTGTGTTAATAATAAAAAACATGTAGTAAGTGAGGCGTTTTCTAGGGTATTTTTTTCATGGTTTAATATGCTGTGTCTTGGTGTCTTTTGATATACTAGAAGAAATACCAGTGAAATAGAAATGATTATGGCCAGTTTCAGACAGGAAGTACTATGAAATAAGCCTCAAAGTGGCAGAAATGTTAGATTTCTGATGAGTATCCTGAGGAAGGGTTGACCCTCCCCAGTCTGTTTTACTGGTTTTTACTAGGTCTGCTTGATTTTTTGGTTATATTTTAGTACCTGAGAAATTGGGTAACCTTCGATTTTTTTGTGATAATGGAGGGCAACTGTTATATAGGAGAGACCTGGGAATGTGACTAATGAACAAAGGAAAGGTTGCATTGGTAACTGGAATGCTGTGTTTATTTTGGTATCAGAATTTACTAAATTTTGTGTTAAGTGGGCCAAGTTACTGACTTCTGAGTGCTTTATAGGGTAATTCTGATAAAGATTTATTTCTTTGTAAAGGTTAGAATGTGTAATTACAATTTTGGTTTGCTAAGTACAAACAAAGCCATTATCATGCTGGTGCATTTAGGGCAGACTAATAGTTGAATGGCCACTGTCAACACTTTTGATTTTGGGCATTGTGGCAGTGAAAGGGTTAAAAGTCAAGATTATTTATTTTCAAATTATAACACTGTATTTTCTATGTATGATATATAATAAATTAATTAAATTTGGCTAAATATATGGCACACACACTAAGCTTTCTGCAACTCAAACCAAATTACTTTTAAAAAGTTATCTAACTATTCACTTAATATTTAATGAATAGTTTAGATAACATATTAATCTGTACATAACATTTTGTGATTTTTATAAAATGCAAAATTACACACTAGATCATTATCATTGGCTTTTCTGCAGCATAAATTGTACTATGATGAGCTGCAACTAGTGTGAACACTTGCTTGATGTAAATCACAATACTATGGCTGGAACAATTCGCACCTATTTCACAAACTGGAGATGATATCGGATAACATTTAGGTCTATGATAAACTGAAATGTTACCCGTTTCACTTCCAATTTTTAAGTTAGCTGTAAAATGTTTACTTCATGTAAATACCCACATGTGCTTGTTCATGCTATTTGCCAAAAACATATTTGATGGACTCATTTTAAGTCAATATTGATAATGAAGTATGATTTTTATAAATCTAGAATTTTACTACCTGTCCTGTACTGTCTTGTGAAAATTTATAAATCACACTACCACAAACCAATGAAAAAATCAGAAATGTCCCAGCACTTCCAGAAGGCTGGTTGTAATTTGATGCAAACTGATTATGCTCAACTGGAAAGCATACTGCTTTTACTGTCTCTATAATGGGAAAAATAAAGCTATGATACAAATGTAATAATAATGGTAATAAATTCTCAGTTCCTGCCAAGCTTGCTTTAAATAATTATCTTATTTTCTGTATGTAAATTCATGTGTGTTAAGAATGTTTCATTTATGCTATGCAGTTATGCAAAATGCAGAAATGAGCTTTAACATTTACTATAATAATTACTAATAAAAATATGACAACAGTTAGAAAAATCTGACAAGTTCAAGTCTGAACCATAATTAGGTAGCAACATGTTATCAAAATGCAGTTTATCAACTGATCAACTTTACTTTTCATGTTTATCATACATTGCTAAATAAAGTATAAATATATTCAGATATTAATGAATATTTTTTATACTCTATTTACAACATAAGTATTACTATTCCCATATGTATATTTTGAATTACTTAGGAATAAAGAAAATTCATAATTTTTTTAAGGAACAAAGTATACTTCAACTATAGCAATTATATAATAATTGATTTAAAAGAAAAAAGGATGGTACTGTAATGCAGAATCCTAAGTCAAATTATTTTTCAGATTTAGAATCTCATACGTTTTAGGGCTTCAAAATAACATTTTAATTATTCACAGCACAAGCATATTACAGCTACAACCCTCAAGTGTCCTGTCTAAGAGAATATTAGTCCATGGTTTACAGTTGTTTCTTATCAATATACAAATCAGATCAATACAATTATCAAAAACTTATTTTTAAATCATTTCTAATTGAGAATTAAGTTTCATGGTTGTTTTACTTGCAAAAGCCATAAGATAATGAGTCACATATATGGGACTACCAGATTTTTTAGGTATAACATGCATTTTCACATGATCTATAGGTAAGGAGGAAATAGTTGTAGAAAGGACAAATAGAATTACACATACAAGTCCTCCAAAAAATATTGATGAATTACCTGGGTAAGGATGCTAATTTAAGATTTATGTGCACCACAAAATTTTACAGAATTAACATGGCCAACTTACATAAAGTAGAAAAAGCAAAAGCATTTTTAATGAGCTTATTAAAAAAAAAAAAAGCTAAGTTGAACTTCCAAAATAAAATGAAAACTTAAAGTTAGCAACTTCAACATTAAAACTGTTTACATTTTTAGAACTTAAAATAGTTGTATACAAAAAATGCAGAAAACTAGCTCATAAGGATATCTGACAATAAAATTAATTTTGCTACGAGTCCTTACCTAGCTAATGGGAAGGTGGGACTGAACCAATCACAACTGAAGTAGTTACCTTCCAAGACACTGGCAGTTATCTAGGGACACTTGATACACACAGAAAGCAAACCAGAGATAAACGAGTAAAAGCAACAAATATGTATATATATATAAACCACAAAAAATATCAAATGCAAGGGTGAAATTTAGTCTTACAATCAAACTTGAGTTATCCAGTATTACAGAAATGCCCAAGTGCAAATTTAATAGTGGAAAACAAAGAGTGCAAATAGAAGCCCTTCACATCTTAAAAGCCTCTTTAAAGTCTTTGAGCTGTACTACATTTTTGCTATAATCCAAAATAACCTGAGCTGTAAGTAGTTTAGTTAGCTTTAGTGCCTATTGACTACAAGGTGGTAATTAAGGTATCATAAAGACTACAATCAACTTAGGCAATATCAAGGATACTTTAATCCCTAAGATAGTGCTTACAATTTGTAAACAGCATATAACCATTTCTGTATAATGTACCCTCTAATTCATATTATAGTACATACCAAAAAAATTAAGGGGCCATTTTTTCAAATATAGAGAGACAGTACAACACTAAGATAATGACTGTCATAAGCCCACAAATTATAAACAAAAATTTCATGACATTTTGGTCCAATCTGGACTGTATTCAAATCATAAAAAGATACGAGACTTGACTGATCCTTGCAGTTCCATTTCCAATTTCTGTATGCTAAAAAAAGATGTAACTAACAAAAAAAGATGGAGGCAGAGGTAGCGGTGAGGACGAAGAAGAGGCGGCGGAAGTGGTTGTGTATAGGACAAACATAAAAATACAACGAAAAGTCAGTCTGTTTTAAGCCTGTCATAATTTAATAGTCAAGAGTGAATCTACAACACAGACAGGACTTTAAAAGTGTAGCAGAGCATTTAAGGAGTGATAGACAATATGTGCTCAAGAGGATCTGAGCAATCAAAAGTTGGTCTATAAGGGCACCCTAGTAAATCCCACAGCTATTTGGGGAATCATCCCTCCATGTGAGCTGATAAAGTAAGGATTGTCAGAAACTTAACAATCCTACTATTTACATCTTAAAAACAGTCAAGACGAGAATTATTATCTCATTCAAAACGAGTGATAAACCTGTATGGATCACCCAGCATTGTTTGGCAAAGAGGTGCTGTTAGTGGGTAGAGGTTAGATGATAAACTCATCTGCTACAGGGGTAAGTCACAGCAAGTAAGCCAGATTCTTTTCGCTAAGAACTTCAGCACCTGCATCATGGATGGGACATAAGCAAATGATCAATAACATCAGGATTCACTGGCAGTGGCAGAGATGTGTTTGAAGTCTAGACTGTAGGATCTAAAGGACCTGAGAAGGGGCAAAGGAAACAAAAATGCCTAGAGGGAGGTCAGGTTGCAGCTGACTGGAGTAAGCAAGTTCAACTAGGTCTTTAGCATAATAGTGTTTGATGGTTGTTTCAGGAATGTGCCATGAGATTTATGCATCTGATAATGTGCTGTCTTAATTTAGGATCTATGGGGTTCTAGACCTTATTAACATTCAAAGGAAGCCATAAATTGATAAGGATCATACAGTGTCTGGGAAATCAAAAGGTGCATGCCTGAAACCAGTTTGAAGGCTCTTGTTACCCTTGCAGCACCACCTGTGACTAGACCAGATAATTGAATTTGATCCAAAGGAAATGTAGCTTAAATACCTTGCACAAATATGTAAGCCATGTACACCTGTGTGTTACTTGTAGTAACAATGACTGTTACCATAGCATATAAGTATGTAAAAGTATACAGTAAATGAATAGGCAGCATGATTTAATTAAACAATCAACATATATATAAACAAGTTATCAACTACTAAAGCTGACATCACTGCATTGTCAAGTGCGTGACACTTGACAATGCTGAGCATTCGCACAGAAGGAACATTGATGAACTCTTCACCAGCATCGAAGCTTTTTGGGGTAAAAAGATGAGGGGATATAGGTTAAACAAATGAGGTTCAGCAGGTACATTACTCCAGTCAGATCCTGCAAACCTGGTTGCCAGCTTCATGCATCTCAAAAGTACAATATTTATTGTTAATGTATCTTTAAAAAAACCAATAAACCCAATCTACAAGAGGAAGTACATTGATTTATTGACAACACGACTTCAGTTCTCCATCCCACTACCCATCACCAAGCACAGCAAAGTAAGTCCTTAACTAATACAGTAGCATCATAACTCAACCTCCCATTTTACTTCTAACCATTAAAAAAAAAAAAACTCAAGGAAGCAGAAACAGATTACATGCAGGTCGCCACGCATGGTAAGAACATGGAAAATGCATTTGCTTAGTTACCAATCCCTGGCTAACACAGCATGGGTAGCCACAGCCAGTGTGGCCCAACGTATTGATAAAACACACAATTCCTTTACCATGAATGGGATTTTGTTATTAAAGGGAAAAAAGAAATGTCATCAAATTTTAGACTATAATTTGAGAAGCTGTTGCAAGTTCTTACAGTCATGGTACTACCTGAACCACAGTTTATAACTTGTCTCCATACTTGCTCACTTTTGCACACATTATAAAACACATAACTTCAAATTTCAATTTCTTCATGGGATATTTACTCTAATGTACTAAAATCTAATGAATTAATAAAAAAAAAGCTTTAGTTATTTTTATGAGACCCTTTACATAAACTACAGTCTCTTAAGTACTCACTGGAAAAGCCTGAGTATATCTGACAACACTTAAGTCACCAGCAATAAGATTACTGGATTATTATATTTGTGTGCAAATGTTAAACCCTTAAGGGTCATGCAACATCTGGGAATTAAGAAGGGTGGGGTTATCAGGAAGATAGCTCCAATTCCTTGAATTAAGAGCCCTTTACCAGCATCAAAGCACATCCCTTGAAGTCGCCATAACCAGGAATTGCAAAGCATATAAAAATATATGTAATTTAACACCACAAGTTAGATATGTAAAAATAAGAGGGGTATCATTGGAAGTAAATACTGATTAATTCATCCAAAATCAGTCAGTAAATATTATAAATTTTGCAACTCACAGCATTCTTAGCAGTATTATCTATTTAAAAAAATATGTAAATACTTAGGTCATGTTTAATCATTAAATCCAAGATATTTTTCATTCATAATAAAAAAAACAATAAATTAACTAACCTAGGAATCAGCTCTTTTCAAATCAGATCTTTATTTCCTAGCAACACCACCTACATTGAGGAAGTTGGGAAGATTCATGGGAATTACACTTTTCTATTAATATTTTAATTAAAAAGAAAATTGCGCCTTTACCTGATTAACTACAATGTTCAAAGTTTTGAGGCTTGATGCAAGCAGGCACTGGAGTGAATTGGCTCTGGGTTTCATTCAGATGTCCTCCCTTTCACCTACGTTATCACTTGCATTACTGCATGAAACAATTTAAGAGAAGTGATACAGATGATTTAACCAAATCAATTACTATTCAAACTGTCAAAATTTAAACTTGGATTTTATATACATTAAGCTTTCATTAATTTCATAATACATAAAAAATGAAAGCACACAATTATATCTAATTCCTTGTAATAAAAAATAACTAGCTATTCAGTCCTCTTGAAACCCTGTCTAACATGCTGGACAAAAGGTTAGTTTCACTATAATTGTAAGCGGAATATTATATCACCTAGATACAGAGAAAGTAAAATGGATAATGCCTCATAGTTAGGTATGAGGAGAATGTCTAAACAGAATCAGGTCAGCACAAGGAAGGCTGCCTGTGGCCCAAAATAAGCCCATGCAAGGCACTGGTGAGACTCTTCTAAAACCAATACCATTTTTATTTCCTTCCACAGTTAGCCAGGCCAATTCCTTAAAATAAACAGTTGCAATAATATTTGAGATATTACACACACACACACACACACACACACTGCATACATTGGAAAGTTATTTTCTAATGAAGTAAAGCAGTTTAGCAATACGCAGTATCGGTAATGTAAGATGTGTACGTACTATTTGATAATACTCGCAAAGCCACATACAGTATCCAAACCATCAGGTTTTAACCATCTTTTTATACTCTTACTTTTCCCAAGTATCTTTTACTTTTCCCAAGTATCTTTCATACTTTTTATTTACAGTGGTAAAGTAATAAAATATTGATTATTTCAACTGCATACTGCTGAAATTATGTATAAAATGAGAATTATGCTTTTAAGTTGATTCACTTAAAACTTACTGCAAGAACAGCATTTTCATAGAAATGGCTCATAAACACTGGGAAAGGGAGCATGAAAAGGGGGTGCGAAAGAATACACAATACACCTCACTACTATTTATAAAAAGATTAATTTTCACTTGCAAGTAAATGAAGGAGAGAGACGAGATTAATTATAGTTAAATATATAGTGTAATTTCTGATCAAATAAGACTTGGAAACCTGCAAAAATTAACTGAATCAGTTAAGTGGAAAAAGAGCAAAATTCTTTTATTTTAGTACACACAAGACTCGGATGAGATTCTTCCAATGTATATACAGGTACAGTGGAACCTCAAAAATCGAACTGCTTCCAACACAACCAATTATGTAAGTGTACAGTGGACCCCCGGTTAACGATATTTTTTCACTCCAGAAGTATGTTCAGGTGCCAGTACTGACCGAATTTGTTCCCATAAGAAATATTGTGAAGTAGATTAGTCCATTTCAGACCCCCAAACATACACGTACAAACGCACTTACATAAATACACTTACATAATTGGTCGCATTCGGAGGTAATCGTTATGCGGGGGTCCACTGTATTTTTGTAAGTGCTTTTATAAGTGTATTTTTGAGGGTCTGAAATAGACTAACCTAATTTACATTATTCCTCATGGGAATAAATTCATTTGGTAAAGGCACTCGAATAGCCTTCTGGACCAAAGAAAGTTCGATATTTGAGGTTCCACTGTATATAGTTTTTAAAAACATTTATCATAAATAAGATGTATTCATTCAAAAAATTATATAGGGATACAATTTTTATTGTCAAAAAAACATATTAATACAAAATTTTATGATAAAACAAGTTACAGTAACTTTGAAATTATGAATTTATATAACTTAATCTGTTTCCATAAATAATGATGCAAGTCTCAAAGTCATACAGAATTTCAACAGCTAATATTGTTCCACAAAATTCGAAAATAGGTCAGCAAATTCCACGTCTGACTTCTATACGCAGTACTTATTCTATTAAAAGAAAACGGTATTTATTATAGTCTTATTAACAAAAAAGCTTCCCAAAATTTTGGACAGGTGAGAAAAATTAAACTAACTAAACTAATTTTTCCTGATACAGTACTTTATAATTTATAGAAATTTATATTTACAGTGTATAGCATAGACAACTGATGAAGACCTTACTTAGGAGCACAGTGCCATCTTCCCAACTTGCAAACAGGAAGATCCTATGTTACAGCTACTGTTTTTGCATTAGTGTAGTTTTTAAGTGATCCAGAGCATTGGACAAAAGTATTCCCTCTGTGCTCTTGCCATCTATTGTCAAGTGATGTGATGCCTGTAACAAAAGGTACATTATTATTATTATATAAAAAAGAAGCACTAAGCAACAAAAGGTACAATATACAAAACATCCTGTACATGAAGGTATCAGTTCACACAATTATTAACATTCTATTCTAAATTCAAGTTAAGTGAAAACAAAAACAGCACTAGATGGGAGTGAATAAATTTTTTCCAACACCTAGTTCTCTTTGGTTAAGATGATTCATTAACACATTTTCCATCCTTAACTTTTACAGTCATGAGAATTTTTATTCAATGTTCTTAATCTGGCTCCAGAACATAATTAATTTATATATACATGACATTAACTACTCCACTGCAATGCAGAACATATAGAAAGGTTCATATATTTTAGGCCATAAGCCAAGAGCATACAATGTCCATTTTTTTTTTTTGGGGGGGGGGGGGCTCTTTATAGTTGTCTTTTCTGGAAATTCTTGTTAAACCCTGATGTTTTTTAAATTATTATTACTGTATTTTTATGTTTTAACACATCAGCCATTTCCCATCGAGGCAGAGTGACTCAAAAAGAAAGAAAAATACTTTCATCATCATTCAACACTTTCACCATCACTCATACATAATCACAAGGAGGCAACAACGAGTCATAGTACGTGACGAGGTGTCAGAGTGGGCGCCTGTGACGAGTGGGGATCCACAGGGGCCAGTCCTGGGACCTGTGCCGTTTTTGGTACATACAATTAATCTGTTCCAGACACCCAAAAGTAATAAAAAAAAAAATACATTCTTTAACCCTTTCAGGGTCCAAGGCCCAAATCTGGAGTCACGCACTAGTGTCCAAGAATTTTCAAAAAAAAAAAAATTTGTTATTTTTTCTTATGAAATCGTAGAGAATCATTTTGTGAAGGTAATAAAACAAAAACTACGAAATTTGGTGGAAAATTGACGAAATTATGCTCTCGTGAATTTTGATGTGTCAGCGATATTTACGAATCGGCGATTTTACCGACTTTGACTCCCATTTTAGGCCAATTACATTATTCCAATCAACCAAATTCTTAGCTATTTCACTAGTATTACTTCTATTCTATCGATTGAGCACAAGAAATCGCCAAGTTAACTGTTTCAACTACAAAATAAAGTGATCGGAAATTGTTAATTTGGCCAATTTAACACAAAGTTCAAAATATTCCAATTTCAAAATAGGGTCCAGAATAAACAATGTAGGCATTCCTGGCACTAAACTAACATTTCCTCTGTTCATTAGTTATGTTTTGAGGCTTTACAAATAAATTCCATTTTGATTTTTTATTCACATAATGAATTTTTATTCACACCAAAAAATAGAAGATTTACTGTTATGCAATACTGTAATAATTGTATAAATATCATCACCATATTTGTGAATGTATATTAGACCCACCAGCTGACGTGTATTAGATGTGTGAGGTCGTTTGTTTACTCTTGAATATCGGCAAAAATTTAACATTTCCGCTACTTTGAGCTCAGTTTCAAGCCATTTCCAGTGCTAAAACCAATCAAAATCATCTCTATTTCTGTAATATGTCTTCCATTCTATCAAATGAGACCAAGAAATCGCAAATACAACTATAAAAAACATACGAAAAAACACTGCAAAGTTGCTGTTTTAATCGAAAAATCATGATTTCAGTTTTTTTCTCTCATTATACACAGTGTGCTGCAGGATCTGTTTTATATGGTGCACACATGCCACATAGATGTATTCTCTCATATCTAGGCCCAAGTGTACCACTCACAGTTTATCAGAGTGAGCTGAGCTCATGGCGTAGATCTACGGTTTGGATACTCACCGTAAAACCGTAGATCTACGGGACGGACCTTGAAAGGGTTAAAGTTTAACTATACCTTTACATACACAGAACAATAATAAATATAAATAAATATAAACATGGTCGTAGGATGGTGGACAGCATCCACCCAGGGAGGTACTACCATCCTGCCGAGTGTAAAATGAAAACTTGTATTTGTTTTACATGATGGTAGGATTGCTAGTATCCATTTTTCTGTCTCATAAACATGCAAGGTTTCAGGTACGTCTTGCTACTTCTACTTACATTTAGGTCACACTACACATACATGTACAAGCATATATATATACATACCCCTCTGGGTTTTCTTCTATTTTCTTACTAGTCCTTGTTCTTGTTTATTTCCTCTTACCTCCATGGTGAAGTGGAACAGAATTCTTCCGTAAGCCATGCGTGTTGTAAGAGGCGACTAAAATGCCAGGAGCAAGGGTCTAGTAACCCCTTCTCCTGTATATATTACTAAATGTAAAAGGAGAAGCTTTTGTTTTTCCTTTTGGGCCACCCCGCCTTAGTGGGATACGGACAGTGTGTTAAAAGAAAGAAAGATCAAAGTAGAATGACATAGAGCGCGTATAAATCTGTAGGGGAAGGAAGGAGAGGTAGGGGTCGTCCTCGAAAAGGTTGGAGGGAGGGGGTAAAGGAGGTTTTGTGGGAGAGGGGGCTTGGACTTCCAGCAAGCATGCATGAGTGTGTTAGATAGGAGTGAATGGAGATGAATGGTATTTGGGACCTGACGAGCTGTTGGAGTGTGAGCAGGGTAATATTTAGTGAAGGGATTCAGGGAGACCAGATATTTTTATATAGCCGGACTTGAGTACTGGAAATGGGAAGTACAATGCCTGCACTTTAAAGGAGGGGTATGGGATATTGGCATTTTGGAGGGATATGTTTTATATCTTTATATGTATATGCTTCTAAACTGTTGTGTTCTGGGCACCTCTTACAGTGGAACCTCAAAATTTGAACGTATCACATATCGAACGTTTCAAAAATAGAACCCTTTTCTCGAACCAACTTTGTCCCTATTATCGAACGCGCCCCTATTTTCGGACCACCAGGTACTGGACCTGTCCACCAACCCGCTCTGTCCGTGTCCCCACGCAGGCACTGTGAGCCAGTCTGGCTTTGTTTATGCTTGAGTGAACACTAACCTGCGCTCTCATTCAAACATTTTACGATTATTTCATTGTATTTAGTGCTTGTGGAACTGTGAAATAAGCTACCATGGGCCCAAAGAAACTTGCTAGTGGTACCCCTGTGGTAAAGAAAGTGAGAAACACCATAGATGTGAAGAAGGAAATAATACAGAAGTATGAGATGGTGTGAGACTTGTCGAGCTTGCCAGGATGTACAGAGGACCGTGGACAGTCATTTTGTGAGACAGAAACAGAGGATTGTGGACAGTTATTTTGTGAGACAGAGGACTGTAGATAGTTATTTTGTGAGACAGGGGTCCAGTGACTCAAGCTGGTCCTAGTGGCATTAAAAGACAGAGAAGGAAAGTAACCCCAGAGAGGGCTTTACCTGAAGTCCTCATGGAGGGGGATTCTCCTTCCAAACACTACCCCAACTACCTGGGCTTCCAGCAGGCGTGTGTGAGCGTGTTCGATAGGAGAGAATGGAGACAAATGGTATTTGGGACCTGACGATCTGTTGGAGTGTGAGCAGGGTAATATTTAGTGAAGGGATTCAGGGAAACCGGTTATTTTTATATAGCCGGACTTGAGTCCTAGAAATGGGAAGTACAATGCTTGCACTCTAAAGGAGGGGTTTGGGATATTGGCAATTTGGAGGGAGATGTGTATCTTTATACGTATATGCTTCTAAGCTGTTGTGTTCTGAGCACCTCTGAAAAAACAGTTATGTGTGAGTGAGGTGAAAGAGTTGAATGATGGTGAAAGTATTTTCTTTTGGGGGATTTTCTTTCTTTTTGGGTCACCCTGCCTCGGTGGGAGATGGCCAACTTGTTAAAAAAAAAAAAAAAAAAATTATATTTTTGGGTTTCTGGAATGCATTAATTGTATTTCCATTATTTCTTATGGGAAATATTGCTTCGATTTTCAGACTTTTCAAATTTAGAACTAGCTCCTGGAACGGATTAAGTTCGAAATTTGAGGTTCCAATGTACATAATCACTGCAAAAACAGTGATTATGTATGAGTGAGGTGAAAGTGTTGAATGATGATGAAAGTATATTTTTTGGGGAGATTTTCTTTCTTTTTGGGTCTCCCTGCCTTGGTGGGAGACAGCCAACTTGTTGGAAAAAAAAAATAATAAAAACATTACATACCTTTATTGAAGGCACTTGTTGGCATATAGAAGGCGGCAAGGAAGGGAGAGGGAGCTAGGGGTTATTGTTTGGAAGGGGAATCAACCTCCATAATGACTTCAGGTAACAAGTCCCTCTCTGGGGTTACTTCCCTTCTTTGTCTTTTAATAGCAGCAGGACCAGCTTGAGAGTCACTGGACCCCTGTCACACAAAATATCCGTCCAGAGAGCTCTGTTTCTGGAGTCTAAGATCTGACTAAAGTGGGCCAATGTTTTATCACTGAACATGTTGCAGATATGGCTTGTTTCAGCTTGGTCAAGGTGATATTTCTCAGCAAAAGCTTGCACCCTACTCCACATTGCACAAATCTCCTTAATCTCTGAAGAAGGCACCTCCTTTCCTCTCTCTTCCTCCTCCTCTGAAGCAAGTTCCTCAGCTGTGGTCTGCTGCTATTCCAGTTGAAGGTGTTGCAGCTCCTCAGTGGTTAGCTCTTCCCTGTGGTCCTCCACCAACTCTTCCACATCCTCATCACTCACATCCAACCCCATGGACTACCCCAAAGGCACAATAGATTCCACAACAGGCATAGGGTCATCAGGGTTAGCCTCAAACCCTTCTAAATCTTTCTCGAGGACACATTCTGGCCACAATTTTCTCCAAGACGAGTTCTAAGTCCTGGAAGTCACTCCCTGCCAAGCCTTACCTATAAGGCTTATGCAGTTGTAGATATTGAAGTGATTCCTCCAGAACTCTCTTAGGGTCAATTCAATGTCTGGGGTCACTTCAAAGCACCTTTGAAACACTGCTTTTGTGTAGAGTTTTTTGAAGTTAGAAATGACCTGCTGGTCCATGGGCTGGAGGAGAGGTGTTAGGAGGTAAGAACTTCACTGTTATAAAATTGAAATCCCTAGACAATTGGTCTACCAAGTTTGGAGGATGAGCAGGAGCACTGTCCATTACCAGGAGGCACTTGAGCGGCAATTTATTTTCCAGGAGGTATTTTTTCATACTTCATGGACCCAATCAATGAAAAGTTGCCTTGTGACCCATGCCTTATTGTTAGCCCTTCCCATCACGGACAATCTACTCTTGACATTGTTTTTCTTGAACACACTGGGATTTTCAGAGCGATACACCAGTAAAGGCTTCACTCTGAAATCCCCCCTAGCATTAGCACAGAACATAAGAGTTAGCCTATCCTACATAGGCTTGTGTCCTGGCAGTGCCTTTTCCTCCTGCATGATGTAGGTCCTCTTTGGCATTTTCTTCCAAAAGAGGCCTGTTTCGTCACAACTGAACACTTGCTGGGGTTAGAATTCTTCAGTCTCTACGTACCCCTTGAATTCCTGCACAAATTTTTCAGCTGCATGTTTGTCTGAACTTGCAGACTCACCATGCCTACAACACTGTGTATGCCACTACGCTTCTTAAATCTGTCAAACCAGCCTCTGCTGGCCTTAAATTCACTAACATCAGCGCTAGTTCCAGGCCTTTTCTTTACAAGATCCGCATGCAACTGCCTTGCCTTTCCACAAATGATCATCTCTGAAACACTATTTCCCGCTAACTGTTTCTCGCTGATCCACAACAACAACTTCTCCACATCTTCCATTGTTTGTGATCTCTTTTTCGTTAACATGTTTACCCCTTTCGCCACATAAGCTTTCTTGATTTGTTCTTTCTTTGCCAGGATAGAAGAGATTGTTGATTTGGATTTCCCATAGTACATCCTGGCATGTTCCAGCACTTGCACGCCACTTTCATATTTTTCAATAACTTCTTTCTTAAATTCCATCGTGTTTCTCACTTTCTTTACCACTTTCTCTGGGCCCATGGTGGCTTCTTTCACAGTCACACTTAACCCTTTGACTGTCGCAAGCCCTTTTCTGAAACTGTCATTCTGTCGCAAAATTTTTTTTGGGGAAAAAAAAAAAAACAAATTTCTTATGAAATGATAGAGAATCTTTTCCCGATGGTAATGACACCAAAACTACGAAATTTGGTCGAAAACTCATGGAATTACGCTCCCGTAAAGTTAGCGGTCTCGGCGACATATACACATTGGCAATTTCGCCGACTTTGAGCCCTGCTTTTGGCCAATTCCATTGTTCCAGTTGACCAAACTCATAGCTATTTCTTTAGAACTCCATTTTTTCTATCAGTTGAGTACAAGAAACCGCCCATTTACCGATTTGAACTACCCAATAAAGTGGTCAGAAATTGGCAATTTGGCCAATTTCACGCAAATTAAAAAAGATGCCAATTTCAAAATAGGGTTCAGAATAAACAACGTAGACATTCTTGGCACTAAAATAACATATCCTCTGTTCATTAGTCACGTCTCTAGGCCCCTCTTATATTACTATTGCTTTCTATTTTGATTTTTTATTCATACAAAAATTACAAAATTTACTGTTATGCAAACTACTGCATTATTGTATAAATGGTATAAATAATATCAGTGCACTAGTGAAAGAATATCAGATTCCCCAGTTGACGTGTATTGAATGTGTGGTACGATTTGCTTACTCCTGAATATTGTAAAAATTGAACATTTCCGCTACTTTGAGCTCGATTTCAAGATCGTTTTTATCGTGAAAATAATCAAAATCATCTCTATTTCTGTAATATGTTTTCCATTTTATCACACGAGACCAGGAAAACAAGAAAACAATGATAAATACTATACGAAAATACACCTCAAAGTCGGCGTTTTAATCCAAAAAAACAGTCAGTTTTTTTTTTCTCATTATGCACTGCGTGCTGCAGGATTTTTTTTATGTGGTGCACACTGACCACACAGACCCATTCTCTCACATTTGGTCCTACCAGCTTTCTCCTGCTTGATCTGAAGCCGCTAGAATTTATGCGTATAAATACATCCGAAAGAGTGGCGCGTAAGACGTATATATACGACTAAAACAGTCAAAGGGTTAATAAACAAGCACAAAAACCAATGGATTTTACAGAAATGTTTGGATGAATGCATGGAGTATATGCTCATTTACCAAGATACACAGGAAGACTGACTCGCCTAGACGTGGTGTCCCGGCGGGAGACAGGCTGACGTGTATAATATGGATGATTTACGAGGCACCGGCTGAAATATGGAGCAAAATTTCCACCGAAAAACCAGCCTAAATATGAATCAGGCGATAAATGCAGCAGCCAATATTTGGGGTTCCACTGCATTAGTGATCTAGTGCAGTAATAATTTCATATGCTCGGACTGGTTCTGGACACTCGCCATATTATGGCCTGTTTTATTCATTCTAGAGTATATATCATGTTTCTATGTTACTTATAGTGTTTATTATGTCATATTAGATCAATTCTGATAGATAAATAAGCCGTAGAGTTGATAGTAGCGTTATATTGAAGTATTTTCTCCTGCCCCTGGGGTGGGTTTTTGGGGGCTGGAACGGATTAATGGCATTTCAATAAAATTCAATTAGGAAAACTGATTTGACATACAAGCAAACTGAGTTACGAGCTCAGTTGTAGACTGAATTAGACTCTGAAGTCAAGGTACCACTGCAGTTTAATATAACCTCCATAAAAATTAATTATATAAAGGCATAAATCTGAAACCTAAGTTTGTTACTAGACAAGAATAGTAAGATCCTTTAGTATATATTCTGCTTAGAATAGTTAACCTTTATTACATAAACTACTTATTACTGTGTTCAGTCACAGAATAAGGATATTGAGTTTTACCTAGGAGAATGCTATTCAGAATAGATAAATAAGGGTTAACTACCTGGTACTTGACTAGTAGACAAACATGGTGACCATGGAGGGAGCGCCCATACAAGGAAGCAGTTTGATCAACACATTCCACTACTGCTAAACTTCCTCCTAGTGTCAATTCCTCCAATACCTAATAGAATAAAATTAGGAAGGGTAATCACATTTACATTTACATAACTATATGAAACAATAAGTACAAATCATGCAACAATTAACACATCAATGAGCCAAGATAATTAATACCACTTACAAAATTGATGAGTTATGTATACAAAAAGAGAAAATATTAAGAGATGAAGATGGACCTTCCTTCAGCTTCTTTGTCAAGTAATGAGGTAGATGATCCCAACCTAATGATTGATCTATCAAATGTAAAACTTGCACAAATAAATCTATTACTATACCTCTGGGAAAGACCATGGGCAATTTGGCAGTGTGAAGGAAGACCTTGCAGAAAGCTGACCAGAACTTAACAAATCTGTAAAAGTTGCTCGACTTGCTGTCTTGCCAGAGAGAAACGTTGTGACAGGAAATTCAAGGCGCAAAGATATATCACTACTACTGCTGCTGCCATCCTGAAAGAAATAAAATTTACATCAATAAAATGGTCAATGAAAAAAACTTTAATCCTTGCTAACACATTTGCAATAATGTTAATGAAAATGAACTGATATTTTAAGGATTTCAGGTTTCAATCATAAATCCAGAATCTGTGTCAGACATTTTAAAGCTACTTGGCTTGCTTATAAATATTTTAGTTGTATTAAAAAAGTATGAAATTGGGAAGGGAAGCATACAGGAAAGTAAAAATAAGCACTACATAGAGAATGCATTAAGCAAAATACCTGAATATATGAGAGAGAACCCCTGAGCTTGTGTGGAATGGTGACATCTTCAGCAGTAAAAGATAACTGGGTCTCCTTGGATTCTCCTGGATCTAAACTCCAAGGAAGATTAACCAATTCTGATTGTGGATCCTGTAATAAGATGAAAGAAAGGAACTGAAAATCCTAACGGAAGACTAAAATTGAATGAAGAAAATTACATAAGGATGATAAAGTACCGTTTTGAATTTTTAAATTAATTTATATCCAAACAAATATATTTGACTGCTCATAATTTGTAAAACGTTTTAGGTGGCCCTTAAAAATTTATTTTGGGATCAAGTATAATAGAAAACCTTAAGTTGTGCAATCATAACTAGCATTTTCAATTTTTTTTTTTTTTCAACAAGTCGGCCGTCTCCCACCAAGGCAGGGTGACCCAAAAAAGAAAGAAAATCCCCAAAAAGAAAATACTTTCATCATTCAACACTTTCACCACACTCACACATTATCACTGTTTTTGCAGAGGTGCTCAGAATACAACAGTTTAGAAGCATATACATATAAAGATACACAACATATCCCTCCAAACTGCCAATATCCCAAACCCCTCCTTTAAAGTGCAGGCATTGTACTTCCCATTTCCACACTCAAGTCCGACTATATGAAAATTATGTAATTTAAATTTAGGCTTTTGTTTCCAACAGAAGTTCATTTCCATTAAGGAGCACCACGGCAGGCAGGCCTAAAACCTTCCCAGTATGTATTAGGCAACTCCATTGTCTTAGCACTGTTGGGAGGGTGATGGGATGTAAACAAACCAGCCTCTCACATGGGTCAGTGTATGTACAGCACAATTTTAGTTCAGTGCACATCACTCAGTTTTTCCTTCTTTTCAGTGTCCCATCTCACCCTTGGATATTTATCATGGCTTCCAAACGAAGTGTAGGTGACTCTAGTGAAGCAAGGAAGAGCATTAAGAGTGAAACTATGCCTATTACAAAAAAACTGGAGCTACTTAAGATGCTGATGGGTGGTGCATGCATCATGGAGAGTTAATGATTTGGTCAATTTGAGAGAATAAGGCAAAGATATTGGCTGGTGCAATGAGTAAACCTCGGTGTGATACATTGATAAGAATGAGGAATTGGCCCACAACCATCCTCTTCACACCAACATGTTAAGTATCATGAACTTGACTTCAGGGTAAATAACAAATAATGGTAAGTATTAATGAAACAGTTTTTTAGCTAATGTACTTTCCTTTAACCCTTTCACTGTCAGTGATGTATAGGTACGGCTTATGAGCCAGTGTTGGTGACGTATTAATATGCCAAAATTCTAGCGGCTTCAAATCTAGTGGGAGTAAGCTGGTAGACCTACAAGAATGGGTCTGTGTGGTCAATGCGTGCAGTACAAAAAAAACTGGGGCACCCGCATTGCATTGTGGCAACGCCATTTCAGTAGCCCTTGTTTATCATGCCTCACGGTAAAAAATATCTCATTCCCCAGCGAATTTGGGACTCTTCTCTTTCCAATTGATATTTCTAACATAGATGAAAGTGTCAGTGAAGATGAATTTCATGGTTCTGAGGAGTTTGCGACCGAAAGCAATCCCCAGGATTCCAGATACAGATAGTGGAAAGGGAAGGCAGCTTGGGTGTTGGGGAAGGCAGCTCGGGTGTTGAGGAAGGTAGTTTGGGTGGTGAGGAAGGCAGCCTGGATGGTGAGGAAGACAGCCTGAATGGAGGGGAAGGCAGCCTGGGTGGTGGGGAAGGCAGCTTGGGTGGTGGGGAAGGCAGCCTGGGTGGTGGGGAAGGCAGCCTGGGTGGTGGGGAAGGCAGCCTGGGTGGTGCAGAAGGCAGCCTGGGTGGTGGGGAAGGCAGCCTGGGTGGTGGGGAAGGCAGCCTGGGTGGTGGGGAAGATGGTGTGGGTGGTTGGGAAGACAGTGTGTAAGTAAGTTATTCAGGTATACATGAATGTAGTTACATAGATTATCATACATAGCAGCAGGTGAAGAGAACCTAGGATAACCCAAAAAGTCAAAGTGACTTATTTCCAGCATGGATGGTGGGGAAGACAGTGTGGGTGGCGAGGAAGGCAGTGTGGGTAAGGCAGCGTGGGTTTGTGTAAACACGTTTTGTAAGCAATATAATGATGATAATGTTTATGTGGTTATTGTGTTGCATACGAGTGGATATACATGTATATGTATATTATGCACTATATTGGTTTCACGGGACACAAAAGTTACTTGAAAAAGTAAAATATTAAAAAATAAAAGAAAAAAGAAGAATAAAAGTAAAAATAACATTACTGAGCGAGAGGCAGTTGCCGATGTTGCCGTATGCGGTTCACTTTGTCAACTTTACGCCTCTATATCTTGGTAACTACTGATCATAATTTTTTTCTTTCAAAACACTCAGAAAAATTTCTTAAGATTTTGGTAAGAAAAAATAATGTTTTTTTTCGAATATTTTTTAACACTGAGAGTGAGTTTAGAATCGAGGGTCTCAACAGTGAAAGGGTTAAGAAAGCAAGGGGCTAGTAACCCCTTCTCCCTTATACATTACTAAAGTTAAAAAGAGAAATTTTTGTTTTACTTTTAGGGGCACCGCGCCTCGGTGGGATACGGCCAGTTTGTTGAAACAAGACAATGACTTTCCTTTAACTGTTTGAACCTCACTAGAGCTGAGGTATTTCACAGATCATCATCATCGACAATGTTAGGTAAGAAAAACTATATTTTTTTATGGATTGACAAAAAAAAAAAAAAAAAAAAAACTCTCAGAGGTCTGATGAACACAACCCTATTTTTCCTATGTTTTTCAGTCCATAAGTTATGGAAATCACCAGTAGCACAATTTTCAGCAATGTAACCCATGCAAACTATAATAACCCACTGTATTTCAAAAGTCCAGGACAGGGATGCACAATCTGCATCCCACAGGCCACATGCATCCCACTGGGTATTACAATTATGGACCTCAATGTCTTGTGTACAAAAGAGGATTACACTACACCTAACTTGTGACACTGAATATCCTCCATTTTCTTTAAGCTAGACCTCAGCTAACTTACAAAATTACAGTAGGGCCCCACTTATACGGCGGGTTAGGTTCCAGGCTACCGCCGTAAAGCGGAAATCGCCGTAAAGTGGAACACCCTTTTTTTCCACTTATAAATGCATACAAACACTAGATAACAAGTTTACACTAACATATATTAAGTTAGCAATAGAACCAGGCATCAAAAAACAATAAAAAGGTACAATACACACATAGTGCACTCATTACTTACCTTAAAATATTTATAGTCTTAATCTAGGGTGAGACAAGTAGTATTTATTGTAAGAAATCAAGTGTGGTATGTATTGTAATAGCCTCACCAGGCCACCCCACCCACACATACTATTCTATGATATTTAAGCATCCCAGAGCGATAAAATGTATATACAGTTCACTCATTACTTACCTTAAAATATTTGTAGTCTTAATGTAGGGTCAGGAGTAAGTAAATGAGATAAAACGAATAAATGAGAGAGAGAAAGAATGAGTACATGAGAGGGGGCAGGCGCAGTTATGTAAACAAACCAGGGGAAGGTAAGTTTTGTAAACAAACGAAATGTACACGTCTGGTTTGTGTACAAGTTACATTGTGTACAGGTTGTCTCTACATTGATACGGTAGAATTAATAAAGAAGAACACTCCCATTCTCATGTAACATCATTTTGAGAAGAAATGAAGCTCTGAGTGAAGGCAATGGAAATAAGTCACACTGACTTTTTTGGGTTATCCTAGGTTCTCTACACGTATGTTGTTATGTATGATAATCTATGTAACTGTATTTGTGTATACCTGAATAAACTTACTTACATACATACGAAAGGAATAATTTTCTACAGTTACCCCCAGTAACACATTTACTCTTATGTTAGATTAGAGAAAATGTTATTCTTGGCGTCACTTGTACAAGTTATGTGGCTCCCACATCTTATATTTATGTTTATTTATTCTATTGTGGGGTGTATTTATCATCTTTTTATGTTATGTATCGTGTTTATTATATAATTTTGAAAAAAATATCATGGATTAATGAAAATGTGTATATTACCGTAATATACGACATTTAATGAGACTCGGTATTGTTATTATCACCACTTGTGCAAGTCGTCTGCTACGACATCTCACATTTGTTTATTTACTCTACTGTGGGGTGTATTTATCTTATTTATATGTTATGCATCGTGTTTATTATATGATTTTGAAAAAAATATCATGGATGGATTAATGAAAATGTGTATATTACCGTAATATACGACATTTAATGAGACTCAGTATTGTTATTATCACCACTTGTGCAAGTCGTCTGCTACGACATCTCACATTTGTTTATTTATTCTACTGTGGGGTGTATTTATCTTATTTATATGTTATGCATCGTGTTTATTATATAATTTTGAAAAAAATATCATGGATGGATTAATGAAAATGTGTATATTACCGTAATATACGACATTTAATGAGACTCAGTATTGTTATTATCACCACTTGTGCAAGTCGTCTGCTCACATCTCACATTTGTTTATTTATTCTACTGTGGGGTGTATTTATCTTATTTATATGTTATGCATCGTGTTTATTATATAATTTTGAAAAAAATATCATGGATGGATTAATGAAAATGTGTATATTAACGTAATATACGACATTTAAATGACTCGATGTATGTAAGTTTATTTAGGTACAGGTATACATAAGTATAATTATCAGAGTATATATAAAATATGAAATAACTTTTAAAAACATTTGAAATTTTGGAGTTTCCAGACAAAATGGAGAGACTTAGTGCTTACTGAGCTCATGGAGAATGTAAACAAACAGGGTGGGGCACGGTGACCGTATTAGAAAGTCAGGTGGGGGGAGCCGTATAGTGAGTTTTGGTCATAATTTGAAATGTCCGTATTAGCGGAACGCCGTAAAGCGGAACGCCGTAAAGCGGGGCCCTCCTGTACTGTGACTGGCAGCATAAACAAACTGGATTGTGTATAGTAAAGTATTTCACACATGTGGGCATATTCACCTTTGTAATTTGTTTAGTAAAAAAAAAATTATACGTGCTGATTAGAAAGACTCTACTCATGGCAAGCAAATTCATTTGAATTTTTGAGCCATTTTAAATATAAAACCTGAGATACTAATTTAAGACAAGTATACATCATATTTCTATTCAAACTATTAGTATGTAGTTCTGCATAATTTTATGCACCATAAAGTTATAAAAAAGTGACTCAAGAATGAAAGCTTTTCCATTCAGAGATTCATACTGCCAGGGGAAAAAGCCAGTTACTGATTAGCTCAATACAACATATGCTGTAGTGGCCCTCTTAACCTGAACAGATGACTGCCTCTCAGATGCTGGCTAATATAACAGACAAACCACAGCTGTCTACAGTTCAGTAGCTACATAACTATCTCCAAACACTTCTTTGGTTTATGGTATGATAAAATTCTTCCTAGTCTCTATTATAAATGCAGAAATTACATGGTGAAACATGTGGTGTCAGCTGATTAAATGCAAGAGTGGCATTAGCTAACAAACCACCCACAGCAATCTATTGCACAAATGCACTACATGACCATCTCCAAACACTTCTACATAAACATGCAAGAGAACAAGGAATTTAATATAGGATAAAATTCTTACTTGGTATTATTATAAACAAGAAAATTGTAGAGTGAAATACACGAGTGGCATCAGTTAATAAAACAAATGACCCACAGCTATCTACTGCCCAATGAGCTACATAACCATCTCCAGACACTTCTACATCAACAGGCAGGATAAAAATGATTTAAGGTAGGGTAAAACCTTTTTTTTGCTACATTTTAATTTTATTTTATACTACTGATAATCCGCCTCGGTGGGATACGGCCGGTGTGTTGAAAGAAAGAAGAATGATTGTGTATTAAATTTAACAGTGACTTACTGGCTGTCTCTGTTTTCTCTGGAAGACTGCCATGCCCATTTCCTTTGGAGGGAAGAGACGGTATCCAGTTTCAAATACCAGCTTTCCTGGCTATATTAAGTTTATTTAGTAAATTTAATTTTGTAAATAAGTTTTCATTTATCATTTGGGTACTGTACATAACACACCTTTCTAGATCAACAAGCAACATCTGCAATGTATTTTATCAAAAACATTATTTTCGACAATGAATTTTAAAAAAAATTGTCTCCCCGACTTGCTAAAAAATATTTTTCAAATTTCATAGCATGAGATTTCAGGAATGTAGCATTCACATTAATTGAGGCTCTACTGTACACTTAAGTTTTAATCTTAAGGCAAACAAGCCAAATCTGCTTTCAAAAAATACTGCTTTTATTCTTATACATGCAGCATTCTATCTTTAACAGGTTGCTTCCCAGTAGAAGTCAATGTTAATTGTATTTCTTTTACAACAGCTGTGCACACATTCAACTGTTTTAACACAGAGACATTTGAAAATTTGAGGGGAAGATATCTGAATGTGGTAATACCCTCAAGAACAGGAAAGTCTCAGAAGATTTTTTTTTTTTTTACAAAGAACGTATGTGCGTGCCTGTGTGTGTGTGTGTAGATAAAATTAATTGGATGTGCAGTGACTAAATTCAGGACTGTTTATGAAAGCCTTCAGATGTATTTTAAGAGAGAACACTGAACATACAGTATAAACAAAGCAACAAAAAGGAATTACCCTTTGGAAATAGATTGACTCTTATGATAAAAAAAAAAAACATGCAAAATTAATCTGAAATGAAGGAGCATGCCAAAAATGAAACAAAAAAAAAACATTAACAAAATACATTTATGGAACTTACTGTTCGTATCATCTTAAGGGCACTAGAATCAGGTAGTATTAGCTGTAGCTTGCTAATAGGCTTAGAAGATTGACTGATGAATTTTATGCACACCAATATTTCACTCATTACACCATCCATGGCTGCAGTAGAGTAAACCTAAAGAAAAAAAAATATATTATATATTGTTCTGCATGACTGCCTATTTGTGATTACTGTACAGTACCTATTTGTAACTGCAGGAACAGAGCTATGGATGTGGTATTCCATCATAAGTTTTGGTTATACAGTAATTGAGTTTCCAGTAGTAATAGCACTTCCTACCTCCTTCAGGGTCCAATTCCAGTATTCCATTACTACTGTATTTAAAAAAATCTTTAAGTATCCTTTCAACTTTGCTTTATCCTCATTTTACAATTCAAGTCTCTTGTTTCTAATGTTGATGATGCTACAAAATAATGCATTTTCTTGTACATTTTTATGACCTTATATGTATATGATTACATTTTTTTGTTCTTATCAGTCAATAAAGTAATTTTTCAGACTTTTCAGCCTTTAACCTTTTGAGGGTCTGTCTCTTAGTTCTACGGCTTTGAAGCCAGGGTCCAACCCATAGTTCTATGCCATGAACTCAGCTCACTCAGATAAGCTGTGAGTGGTAAATTTGGGCCTAGATATGAGAGAATGTATCCATTTGGTAAGTGTGTATCATATAAAACAAATCCTGGAGCACACAGTGCATGATGAGGAAAAAACTTTTTATTAAAACAGCGGACTATGCAGTGTATTTTCGTATGTTTCTTATGGTTGTATTCGAGGTTTCTTGGTCTCATTTGATACAATGGATGATATATTACAGAAATCGAGATGGTTTTGATTGGTTTTATTACTGAAAATAGCTTGAAACTGAGCTCAAAGTAGTAGAAATGTTCGATTTTTGAGACGTTCAAGAGTAAACAAATAACATCATGCGTCCAATACACGTCAACTGGTGGGGCTAATGTACATTCATGATTGCGTTGATATTATTTATACAATTATTACAATATTGTATAACAGTAAATCTTCTATTTTTTGGTGTGAATAAAAATTCATTATGTGAATAAAAAATCAAAGTGGAATTCATTTGTAAAGCCTGGAAACATAACTAATAAACAGAGGAAACATTATTTTAGTGCCAGGAATGCCTGCATTGTTTATTCTGGACCCTATTTTGGAATTGGAATATTTTGAACTTTGTGTGAAATTGGCAAAATTACCAATTTCTGATCACTTTATTGAGTAGTTGAAATAGTTGACTGGGCGATATCTTGTGCTCAATTGATAAAATAGAAGTAACACTAGCGAAATAGCTAAGAATCTGGTCAACTGGAATTATGTAACTGGCCTAAAATGGGAATCAAATTGGGCAAAATCGCTGATGCGTAAATATAGCTGACACAGCAAAATTTATGAGCATAATTTCGTCAATTTTCCATCAAATTTTGTAATTTTTGCTTTATTACCTTCGGAAAAGGATTCTCTACCATTTCATAAGAAAAAAAATTTTTTTTTTTTGAAAATTCTTGAACCCTGTGGACAAGTTTCAGATCAGGGGTCTGGACCCTGAAAGGGTTAACAATTATTTTTATCTCATGGAGTCATTTTCCAGCTGGTCTTTGGAATTTTTCTAATGCATGCATCTTTCCAGATGAAGACTACACACTGGAGTTATGTATTTTAATTTTAACTAAAAGTATGTTGTGAAGTACTTTTTTTTTAACCCCTAAATGGTCCAAACATATATATACCTTCTTACCCGTAGCGCTCCCAAACGTATTATATTGGCCCGAGATGCCTGGTCAGCATAGAATTGGTCTTAACACTCGGTGTGCCCAGTATTAAAAAAATCTTGGACCACTTAGTACCTTGTGGGAGCGCCAGTTAAATTGAGCGCCAGCTAGAGCAAACAGTGCAGCAAACACCAAGGATTCACTGATGTAATGTCATATTAACACTCCTCTTTTAAGAGGAAAGTGATGTTAACCCCAAGTTTAGGGTCTGTTGATCTCTATCTCTATCTGCCTCTGTCTGTCTGTCTGTATCTGTCTCTGTCTGTCTGTCTAGGTCTCTGTATCTGTCTGTATCTGTCTCTGGCTTTGTCTATCTCTTTCAATCTCTCTTTGTCGATTTCTGTCTCACAGGTACACATAAATACAATTATACATAGTATAAATTACCTAGGATAACCCAAAAATCCAGACAAAGTGCTATACTCTGCTTGAAGATGTGAGTAAAGGTGATGACGCAGTCTTGTGGCTCTCTCTGAGACAGAGAGCTAGATGGATACACAGATAGACAGGGAGCTTGACAGACAGACAAATGTTTGTGTACCAGCAAAAACAAAGCTAGGGCATGCTCATCAAATGTCACCTCTAATCTTTTCTTACCAGCTGCACCCTCACTGCACCCTCCCCCACCCTCTTTATGCTCATCAAACAGGTCTTATCAGATGTTATCTCCCCTTATCATGTCACTGTCAGGGGTGGACTTTATTTTTCATGCTTCAAGGGAACTTATCATCATCATCATCCTCCTCATCATCATCATCATCATCCTCCTCCTCCTCCTCATCCTCCTTGTCCTCATCCTCCTCCTCCTTCTTCTCCTGCTCCTTCTTCTCCTGCTCCTCCTTCTCTGCTCCCTTCCTGTCCTCCTCCTCCTGCTCCTCCTTCTTCTTCTCCTCCTCCTTCTCCTTCTTCCTCCTGCTCCTCCTCCTTCTCCTGCCTCCCCTCTCCTCCTCCTCCTCCTTCTCCTCCTCCTTCTTCTCCTCCTCCTTCTTCTCCTCCTTCTTCTCCTCATTCTTCTTCTCCTCCTCCTCCTCCTCCTTCTCCTCCTCCTCCTCCTTTCTCTTTCTTCTCCTCCTCCTCCTTCTCCTTCTCCTCCTCCTCCTTCCTCCTCCTCCTTCTCCTCTTTCTCCTCCTTTGTCTCCTCATTCTCCTCCTCCTTCTCCTCATTCTTCTTCTTCTCATTCTTCTTCTCCTTCTCCTCCTCCTCCTTCTCCTCTTTCTCTCTCTCCTCCTCCTCCTTCTTCTCCTCCTCCTTCTCCTCCTCCTCCTCCTTCTCCTCCTCCTTCTCCTCTCTCCTCCTTCTTCTCTCTTCTCCTTCTTCTCCTCCTCCTCCTCCTTCTCTCCTCCTTCTCCTCCTCCTCCTTCTCCTCCTCCTTCTCCTCCTTCTCCTCCTCCTCCTCCTTCTTCTCCTCCTCCTCCTCCTTCTCCTCTTCCTCATTATTATTATATACTTCCACATATCTAAAACATTGCTGGGACTTATAAATACTTTGTTTATATTCCAAGACAATAGTAAATGACCAAGACAAGTGTAAATGTCCACCTGTCAATGTGTTTGTGACAATTTGAGTACAATTTCAGTACCTAATACTAGTGTCAGAACAAATATTGGTTATGAAATGACAAGAATTACTATAAATTGTAATTATCAGAACATAAAAATTATATAAAATATGAAAAATAGAAAAAAAGGTATATCGGCAACACTTCTGCAAGTAGCAGGACTCCATGTTGCCGTCACATGAGCATCAAGTGCCAACTTCTCTGCCTCATATCTCTGTAAGTACTGACCCTAATTTTTTTTTTATTCTATAACACTTAAAAAATGTGCTCTTTTTTCAATGAATTTTTTTTTTTTCCAAAATATTTGGGGCACTGCTCTAGAAGGTATTATACGTTTGGACTGTTGAAGGGTTAAACATTTCCCATCAATATGTCTTACAACTATTTTTGTGTTAATTAGTTTATCATACAAGTTTCTTACAATTTCATGTAAGTGATCTAGTAACAAACAGATCTGCTCCTGTAGCTACTAATAAGCAACCCCTCACCTCCCTCTCCTTTCCCTTTATTCCTAACCTGTTTACCATCTCTAAAGTACCTGCATTTTCCCTATGTACAACAAATGTTTTTCAAATAATCAGCCTTCAATTGCAGTCACTGTCAGTTAATTTACTCTCCAATCACCCTCAACATACACCTAACTTGATCATTCACCTAAGCATCCTTCAACCATAGTAATTACCCTATACCATTACCATTAATTCGTACACTCTTATAACACCAACTCCTAAACACAAACTAAGCTCTAACTTGTCAATCAGTCTGCACCCTCAGTCCCCCCCATCATATTCCTAAACCCAGTCACACCCAGACAAAATGTCCAGCTCTATAAAAAATCAGACATGCACTGGAATATACAACACTTAATTTCTACAAACAAAATTCTTGAATTAAATGAACAAGTACCAGAAGAAACCCCAAATCTTGCTGCAATTATGAAAGCAAAGTTAACCAATTACAGACACAGTTTTTCCCAGGGGCTACTGCTTAAACACAAGAAAAAGACCAAGAGGAAAAAATAACACGCTTGATTACTCAGATTACAAAACTGAATCAATCAGTACTATGGAAGAGCCCAGGGTCTCAATGGATGTCATTTCTGTGATGAAAGCCTGGTGGCCCACCTGGAATGAAATCTATGCATATCTACGCAAATAACTTCTCTCTAGGCTTTGCAAGTTTGTACACATTTACACTTTGTAATAGATACCTGTGCTACTGTTGCACAAGTTGACCCTTAAATGTTGACCCCATGTGCCTCCCACTGTCAGTCATCAAGCCAGTATTGTAGCCAGAAATAATGTACACACTCAAACATCTACTTGCTCTCCTCTCCGCAAAGATTACAATGATATCCTGTTTCCCAACACTCTGGCAAGGCTTCTAACCATTATTCTAAACCAAAAAATCCTCAATTATTTCACTCACATACTGAGGCATCTCAATTAAATGTTAAAATACCTTCCAATTCAAATTCTTTCAACTCATTTAATTTTACTTCACTTTGTGCAAGCACAGTACATCCAACTTCCTTTTGCTCATATTAACAACAGCCTTTTCTTAGGATCTGTTATGCATCCATATACTAACTTCCATCAGGCAATTTAATCATCTTTTATGACATGCATGGCTACAGGGAAAGGATTCTACCCTAAAGGACTGGAAATTTTTTAGATTTAAAAACTACTGAAAGCTTCTGGATTTAAAAACTACTTAAAGGTTCTACGTTTAAAACTACCAAAAGGTTCTACGTTTAAAAACGATTATGAAACATAGAAAGCAAAGTGAATAATAAATACAAGTTAATTTGGTACACCTACTACTGTATCTAGGACAGGATAATAGTGCAGCATCTCCCTGGATGACTGTAGTCTAAGCATAAATCACTGCCCTCAAATATGCCAAGAGTGGTAAACTTCTATTTAGCAATGAAAGAACAGTTCTGTGTGGTGGGTGTGGGCAATATAAAAACTTGCCTCATGCTATACATAATGTGATCACTAACCCATTTCAGTTAACATAACTTTGGAGTGTTTTCGATGGTGTTTTTCATGCTATTATTGTCTGTCTCTTGGTACCAATTGACAGATTAGAAGATTTTCTAGTAAAATGATTGGTTTCAGACCAGTAGTGATCTGCAATAGGTCTCAAAGTGGCAGACACAATCAATTTTTGTTCTGAGGAAGGATAGGAATAGGAGTCTCCCCCTCCCTCCCCCTGTATGTTTTCTGGGGTTTTACTAGGCCTTCTTTAATTACTGGGATGCCCTAAATCAAGACCGAGCATTCCTGGTTATGATTTATTAACCAAGAAATAGAGAAAAATGTTGATGTTTTGCACATGAAGGTTTCAAAATTGAGGGCAAGAATTATATACCAGAAGTCTGTGGATGTGATTAATGAATAGAAGAGAAGTTTGCTTTAATGGCTGGAATGCCTACCATGTCTGTTTTAGACCTTTTAAATTCAAATTCACTGAAAATAGTGTAAAATTGGCCAAAATACCAAATTTGGAGCACTTTATATATTAGTCCTTATAGTTAAATATGCAGTTTCTTGCAATCAATGGATAGTTTGGAAGGCATACCAATGGAATAGCCAGGAATTGGGTTGGTTGGAGAGAGGGCATCTGCACATGCCAACTATTCCATGAACCTTTCATTAGTCACAGTTCAGCAGGGTTGAAAATTTGAAGCTAATATGAAAAGGCATTCATAAATTAACAAAAGATTTAGAGGAACTTCATCGAAGGCAAGAAAACTTTACCTGCAGGTAATTAGCTTAAAATAGGCCTCAAGGCAGGCAAAATCACTGATATGAAAAGTGCTTCCTGATCTCCAACTTCACACCTGTGTAATTCTGTTAGTATGACATAAAATTTTACATTTCTTTTGTCATTACCTTTAAAAAAAGATTTACTATCTTAGAAGATAATTTATTTTTTTTTTACATAAGTGACGACAGATTAGGGATTTTCAATTTAGGTGGTGTCAACAGTGAAAGAGTTAGGTGGTAGATTATCTCTTGTGCCACACATACCACCTGTTATCTACAGTTAAATTCCCATAAAATGTTATGCCAAAGGATAATTACCATGGTTAAAATTCTTTGTAGCATCACATATAGCTCTTGCCCCATTCAAGAAAAATAATTCACCATAAATTGATTAACTTACTATTCTTATATGAGAATCCTCAGCCAGTAATCTGCTGTAAGGTTGAGGCTCAGGTACTGCTAGTTTCTCTTCCACCTCTTGAGTGACAGTTCCATTAGTCTCTTCATATTCATCTCTATTACGGCTTAATGTATCTATTTCTTTTTCATTTTTCTTCAGTTTTTTTTCTGGTTTATCTCTGTCCTTTTCTTTCTTGGCTTTCTTCTCTTTTTTCGTTTTAGTTTTCTTTGATTTACTCTGAAACAAAAAAATGCATTAAAAAATGCAAGAGGATGGGAAATGGGATCTAGAAAGATGACTTGAATAACTATAGATCAATATCTAACTTACCACTGCTCTCTAAAATCTTTGAAAAATTAATGCATAGACGGATCTATTCATACCTCTAACTCTCCTCTCTTATTTTTAACTAATAAATCCATTCTTTCTCTAAGTTTTCTCAATTTATTAATCCCACTCCAAAACTTTTTCTTATTTTCAACATCTCACCCACCCTCTCATTTGCTCTTTTTACACTGCTTCACCATTCTCTTAACCTCTCTTTTTCTCTCCATACACTCCTCCCTCCTTGCATCACTTCTACTTTGTAAAACCTCTCATATGCTAACTTTTTCTCTCTTACTACTCTCTTTACATCATCATTCCACCAATCACTCTTCTTCCCTCCTGCACCCACTTTCCTGTAACCACAAACTTCTGCTGAACACTCTAATGCTATATTCTTAAACTTACCCCATACATCTTCTACCCCATTGACTATACTCTCACTAGCCTATCTATCCTCCAATAGTTGTCTATATCTTACCCTAACTGCCTCCTCCTCCTCTAGTTTATAAATCTTCACTTCTCTCTTACTTGCTGTTTCCATTCCCATCTACCTTTTACTCTCACTGTAGCTACAACTAAATAGTGATCTGATATATCTGTGGCCCCTCTATAAATAAGTACATCCTGAAGTCTACCCAACAGTCTTTTACCTACCAATACGTAGTCCAACAAACTACTGTCATTTCATCCTACATCATTTTTTTTTTTTCTGACAAGTCGGCCATCTCCCACCTAGGCAGGGTGACCCAAAGAGAAAGAAAATCCCCAAAAAGAAAATACTATCATCATCATTCAACACTTTCACCACACTCGCACATTATCACTGTTTTTGCAGAGGTGCCCAGAATACAACAGTTTAGAAGTATATACGTATAAAAATACACAATATATCTTTCCAAACTGCCAATATCCCAAACCCCTCCTTTAGAGTGCAGGCATTATACTTCCATTTCCAGGACTCAATCCGGTTATATAAAATAACCGGTTTCCCTGAATCCCTTCACTAAATATTACCCTGCTCACACTCCATCAGATCGTCAGGTCCCAAATACCATTTGTCTCCATTCACTCCTATTTAACATGCTCACACACGCTTGCTGGAAGTCCAAACCCCTCATCCACAACACCTCCTTTACCCCCTCCCTCCAACCTTTTCGAGGACGACCCCTACCCTGCCTTTCTTCCCCTACAGATTTATACGCTCTCCATGTCATTCTACTTTGATCCATTCTCTTTAAATGACCAAACCACCTCAACAAACCCTCTTCAGCCCTCTGACTAATACTTTTATTAACTCTACACCTTCTCCTAATTTCCACACTCCGAATTTTCTGCATAATATTTACACCACACATTGCTCTTAGACAGGACATCTCCACTGCCTCCAACCGCCTCCTTGCTGCAGCATTTACAACCCAAGCTTCACATCCATATAAGAGTGTTGGTACTACTATACTTTCATACATTCCCTTCTTTGCCTCCATAGATAACATTTTTTGCCTCCACATATACCTCAATGCACCACTCACCTTTTTTCCTTCATCAATTCTATGATTAACCTCACCCTTCATAAATCCATTCGCTGACACGTCAACTCCCAAATATCTGAAAACATTCACTTCTTCCATACTCCTCCTCCCCAATTTGATATCCAATTTTTCTTTATCTAAATCATTTGATACTCTCATCACCTTACTCTTTTCTATGTTCACTTTCAACTTTCTACCTTTACACACATTGTATGATGTATTAATACACGTCTGACCGAGTGACTCCCCTTAGGCCTTCGTCTGTTTGCTTACAATTCTCAGCATCTCCTTATTTCTTGTTAGTTCATTCTCTCTCATTTATGATATCATCTAAGAGTAATTGTTAGAAATGATTAAACTCAGTGAACAAGGTATGTCAATGATAATAATAATAATAATTGTTCTGGGGAACTTTAAATTTGTATTTCATGTAGTTATGGTAGCTGGTGTAGGAGCTACCACACCTGACTTTCTACAATACTCACCTCTCACCCTACATATAGACTACACATAATTTAAAGTAATGAATGTACTGTATATGTATTCTACTTTGTATTGTTTTTAATGTCTAGTTCTACTGTTAGCTTAATATGTATATGTTAGTGCAAACTTGTTATCTGGCATTTATGAGTGGGAAAAAATGGCATTCCACTTTACAGCAGAAACCTCATACCTAACCTGTCATATAAGTGGGTCCCTACTGTACAGAATTTACATTATATACACAAGCTGATTCTTATGAGGATACCTTTCTCAAATCGTGCAGTGACTGAAATACATCTTGCTTTATTCATGTTTATTAAAAACATGTGCTTAAAAAAATCCCTTAAATTCTAAATAATGAAATAAGTAAACTGCATATCTTAAATTATATACAGTACTAACATCATCTTTGCTTGATGAAGGTGTAGATGGTGAAGCTGTCTTTGTTGTTCCATCCATACAAGATTCAGGTGTCTGTGATAACTCTTTAGATAACCAGAAGTCCAAGTCATCTGAAGTCTGTATGAAGAAAAGACTTTGTTGAAACACAACTGAGTACCTAATTGATTACAGTAAATAATAGTAAAGTATTATTACAATGGAAGAAGCTATTTACTCAAACTCTTATGAAAGTCAAGGACATATGAGTGGTTGATCCACATTTCTAAAAGCATTGGTTTTATGTGAAGAGTGAAGCTCAAATTAGGGTATGTAGGAGAAAAGGGAATTATTTTTCCAGCAAATGTAAGCCTTAGACAAGAATGCCTGATATAACCAGGCATTAGGATTGTAAAAGGAGTGAATGCCCATGTATTGGGAGAGGTGTGGGATTGAAAGATAATGATGATGATACAAATCGGGAGCTGTAACAATTGCTTCCTGGCAATGACATTTCCTTTGGGAAATTCTAAATAAGTTGCCATAGCAGATGGATTGGGAGGATATATAAAGGGAAATTATAAGTGAAAACAGAAAAGGGGCACAATAACAGAGTAACAAAAAGTCTAGGCAATGAGAAATAAGTTATCAGACTGGAGAGAGAACTTATTTAGATATTCAAGCACGAACATGTTGGCAGATGGGTCTATGAATGACAAGATAATCCACAGAATAGATTTGGGAAAATATATAGGTGGGGGTGATGAGGCATTTGTGGAAAATTTATCTAACATTTATAGTAACATGTTTGAGAGCAATGCATGATGTGAATATTATGCAGAGAAGTCAAAAGTGTAGAAATTAGAAGACAGTTTCAAGTTACCAAAGGTATAATTCAGGAGGGAATGTTGAGGTGGTCTGGAAATTCAGAGAGGACAACATAAACTAGGATTACCAAAAGGATGTATAAATCTGGCATGGAAGGAAGAAGGAAAGAGAGTTAGTCCCAGTTTGGGTTGAAGAGAGGGAGTAATTGGAGATTTTGAGTGCCAGGTGTACAAGCATTCAGTATGCTTGAGTGTGCTAGATTAAAGTGAGCAGAGACAAGTTCTTTTTATGGTTTAACATGCTGTTGGAGTGAAAGAAAGGTAACATTCATGAAGGTAGTCAGGGAAACAGTTTAACCAGACCTGATTCCTGGAGGTGGAAGTAAAGTTCCTATGCAAAATCCAAACTAAGAACTACCTGTAGAATTGGACCATTATTGAGAGGAGATGCGTATACTGACAATGAACAGGAAATGAGTGAAATCCTAAAAGAACAGTATGAGTCAGTGTTCAGCAACCCACTAAATGACAGCAAGGTAGAAAATGCAGAAATATTTTTCACTCCAGCAGAAGGCCGCACAGACTAACTAATAGACATTAGTACAAATCCCATAGATTTCAAAAAAGAAATGGACAACATGTCCACTCACTCAGCACCTGGACCAGATTCATGGAATGCTCTTTTTAAAAAAAGTGCAAAGTACCACTAGCACAAGCCCTCAGGAGAAAGAGCTCAGATCTAAGTGAAATACCGGAAGCCTTAAAGAGTGCAGACATAGCTCTTTTGCATAAGGGAGGTAGTAGAGCACTAGCTAAAAATTACAGACCAGTAGCCCTAACTTCTTGTGAAGGCTTACTCAGCCCTGTAACAACTTCAGACAGTATTACCAAGGCTGGCTCCTCCTCAAGAAAATTAATGAATAGAAAAAGAAATAATAATTCACAAAGATAAACACTTTATTATTTAGTAATGCAAAGATAAAACACTGAAAACATGAATGTGTATCCTATTTGACAGAAAAATGAAAAACGAAATAAAAATATGACATTTGAATTCAACGCTAATATATACAGTTATACTGGGGTGTCTGGTGGAGGTTGACACCGTCTTGTAGAAATTGTAGCCGTTACTGATGATGTGTGTGTGTGTGGGGGGGGGGGGGGGGGGGGTCACAGGTGTTGGTGACAACCCAACGACTAGTTCTTCACAGAGTCTATAGCCTCGAATAGTCAGTCCAGATGACAGGAACGCAGGTTCTTTACCACTGCGGAGATGAGGGGTAGTTGCCTGCGGTTTACTGAAAGTAATCAGGTAGGTAGATAAACAAATGACGTCTCATGGGCTGTTTCAGTCCGTCTCCTTCAACACTTTTCGTTGGTTGGCAGGTGACCCGATCTGTCATTTCAAGCTGGAAAGAGAGACAGGTTACCCACTGCTTAAGAAATCACTCTCCATGATAAGTGTAAGATACTTAAAAAAGGTGGTGATTATCGAAAAATCTCATGTGGAGCTTAAAACTGAAAGGACTAAGTTTATTATTGGTCAAAAGTGAAGCTTTCAACCAATATCCACTAGAATAGGAGCAGAGGCTTTTACTTACAGTTGTGCTGGGAGCTGTGAGTCGAGTGATTACTGTTTGGCCGGAGCCCCACACGTCACCTTTCGGGGTGGGGATAGCGGGAGCTAGACTGACCCTACCTTAACAAGCATCCAGCAATCAAACTATCGTTACCATATACTCGCTCGCTACTCCTATCTGTTGAACTTTTCCCTCACACTCCCCCATACCAAGACTTATAGTCAAGGAGTATAAGAAGAATAGGCGAGGAAAAAGTTCTAATACGAAGTCGCATAAGGCAACAAATCTACTGACTGTCACGACTTAACCAGTCAGAGAAATAATGGGATGAACCATTGATATACACAATATGAAACTTAAAAGCTTGGAGTGCCAATGTCCACCTTAAGAGGTGACTGTTGGTTCTCTTAAAAGTTTCTAGGTATATCAAAGGTTTGTGATCCGTTTCTAAAATAAATTCTTTTCCCAGTAAATAAAATTTAAGTTTGGAGATACCCCACACAAGGGTCAAACATTCCTTTTCTATGGTGGAGTATCTCATTTCTGCAGGAAGAAAATTTTAGATTTAATAAATATACAGGAACTAGGAGTGTGTATTTTGTGCAGCAAGCACCTGACACCTATTGCAAGAACTATACTTCTTTGTAACCTGTAAGTACATGCTTGGCCAAAAATAAGTGTGCTTGAGTTTATGCCACGTCTTACGATGGGCCAAGTGTTTGGTCACTGGCAAATCATGAGCCATTTGAAGAACAGTCTCTCGACATGGTTTAGGAACAACAAGGAGGGAATAATCTATCGCTGAAGAATGAGATTTAAATACAGATTTATATAAGATACCATTAATATATTAAAACTTATGAGATATGTATCTCCCGTGGATAACTTTGTTGTTAAAAACTTGATTATGACAATCCCGAATTGAAGGGCAATCGCGCTGTATATTGACAAAGTCATCCTTGGACATAAAATCTGGGAAAATAAAAGGACTTACAGTGGGAGAAGAGGAGGTAGGAGAAATCAGTGTTATGCTCTGAGCCCTAGTCAAGACATTGAGTGTGCCGGAGGCAATGCCCTTACTTTCACCTGACGAGTGGACAGGTGATCCTGCTACCTCACTATCGAGAGCAGTATCATCTGTTTCCACCCCCAAATGAACAGTACGAGACAATGCAGCTTCCGGTGAGGAATTGTTAAGGGGCTTATTTAACTTACAAGGAAGAGCAGCTGGAAAACTTAGATCCACGGGTGGTGATGAAAGATCCACCTCTGAAGGAAGAACGGCACCTTTAATGTTACCCACTATTATAGAACAAGTACATAATTGGGGCTAGTACCGCATTAGTCCAACCGGTGAACCATTTAGTTTTCAAGTAACAACGTATTGTAGGGAAAGTATTTTCACGACCCAAGTAATCTGAAAGAATAGAGGACACATGAGAGGTTTTAAAGTAAGGGAACAGTTTGTCCGAAATTACGATGCACATACATCCAGTGTCACGTATTATGTCTGAGACTTTTATACCATTAACTGCTCCTGAACAGAAGGGTGCTTGGTCATTACCATCAACAAAACATCTACCAACTTTCTCTATTTTCTTGGAAGGACAATCTGAACATTTATGTCCGATACCACCACACCGATGACAGGTTGGTATAATAGCTGGTGACTTTGTTTCTACTGTAGGCTTCTTAATCTTTGGTTCAGGTGAACCATTGCCCTTAAGGTTCGATTCCTTTAGATCTTTATAGAAATTGTGAGCCTCAGCTCTGATATTAAGAATCTTAATAGTAACTGTCATGGAGTAACTCTGGGTAATGATAATTTCAGAAATTGTGTAAAAACAAAGATGAATAGGAAAAATGTGCAGAAGAAAAAACATATGATGGTATTTTATGCTAACAGTTGAAGTGCAAGAAATAAAATTAATGAACTACGTTTGGTAGCATGTGCTGGGAACTTTGATATCATTGCATTAACTGAAACGTGGTATGATTTAAAGAGTCGGGATATGACTGCTGAGTGTAATATTCAGGGATTTAAGTTATTCAATGTGGATAGATGTAATGGGAAGGGGGGAGGAGTTGCATTGTATGTTCGAGAAAATATTAATTGTTGCATAAAAACAGGTATAAAAATAGATGGAGCAGTAACAGAGTCTGTTTTGGGTAGAGTTCGTGGAGGGTCAAGAAAAAATAATTCTAGGTGTAATATACCGACCTCCAGGCTTGGATCACGATAGAGGGAGACTTCTTTGGGACGAAATTGTTAGGGCTTCTGTACACAGTAACGTAGTCATAGTAGGGGACTTTAACTTTAGCCAAATTGACTGGAATTCTTTGACAGGTAATCTAGAGTCCAGTGACTTCATGGGAAAAAGTTCAGGACTGTTTTCTGAAACAGAGTGTAACTGAACCTACCAGGGTAATAATTTGCTAGACCTAGTCTTGTCAAATAAGGAAACACTCGTGAATAATCTGGAGATCACTGAAGAGCTTGGCGCAAGTGATCACAAATCCATCACCTTTAGCATTAATTGGGAATGCAAGAATAATGATAATACAGTAAAAATCCCCGATTTTCGTTCTGCCGATTATAATGGACTTAGGGAACATCTGTCTAATATTGATTGGGGTTATCTAGCTAATGATTTTATTGACGATAATCATACTTATGAATATGAAGGGATCTGCTTTTATGATTGTTTTCTTAATAATGTACACAGTGCCCAGA